TACCAAATTGTAAATCCCGCCTAAAGTGCAACTTGAAGAGCTCAGGGTTCTTGAAGAGTTCTGAACTCTTAGAACCCGACCACGTCTCGATGAGAAAGATATGCATGGAAATTCACTTACAGCCATGGCTAATGCCATTGAAAATTCACAATGTATACTGATATGTATGAGTGAGAGTTATGAGAAAAGTAATGCTTGTCATCATGAAGCAGAATATGCCTATGTTCGTCAGCGTCGTATTCTACCCTTAGTTGTTCAATCGAAATATAAGGCCAAAAGTTGGCTTGGATTTATAATTGGAGCTCTCATATATATTGATTTCACCAAATATGAATTTAACAAAGCATTTGACATGCTCGAATTGGAAATGAAACATAGAGAGAAGACCGTTGAGCAAACAGCTACACGGCCTGTTGTTGATTCGCATGAAAAGAAGATTGAAACCAAAATGCAGGATAACATAAGTGCACAACCTATTGTCGATTCCATCGAAAACAAAGTTGAATCCAACAAACATGTATCAACTATGCATGAAAATAAGAACGTCAATGAATGGACAACTGACGATGTGATTAGCTGGTGTCACACTCATAATCTTTTGATATTATCGCAATTGCTTGAACATTACGACGGAACCAGTCTTCTTCGACTACACAATATGTCAAAAACTACTGGCGATAACGATACTTTTCGTTTGTTACAAGATGATTGTCAACGAATTTCTACCAACGGGAAAATCAAATTAACCCTAACCGAATTTGTTCGATTTCAAAGCGAACTTGATAAAAGACTTGAAAAAGACATGACTCAGAATAAAACTATGCCTGAAAAAAAACCGAAATCGACTAAACTTTGCTTATTATTATAACAGAATTATAATAAACTATTTTAAATAAACCCATGAATTATCTTTCTTGTGAAAATAAATATAAACATAGTTTTCCTGAAAACTATTCATATCGAACTTAGTATCGATTCATAATTATTTTCTTGACGCAAGTCTTCTAGAAAAAAACTAGAGTTGATATCAATGAGTGTCTGTATGCCCCACGAAAGTCCATGGTTTCCGAACATGACCAAGAGTTTCGAAGATATTGATATTAACTGAAATTTCTACTGAACATCTTTGTTCCATATATAGAATTCACTTCACTCGAAACATTTTTCTTGAAAAATTGATTGATATCAACGAAAATCGGCTAGCGCAAATTCATTATACATTAAAAATATAGCAATAATTCTCTCAGTCAGATAAAACTACCTGTCATAAGTTAAATTCCTCTAGCAGGAGTCAGTAATATACTAACAAATGATTTATTAATGACAGCTATTCGTTGACAACTTTCATCCCCATATATTTGAACATGATTCTGTCTTACAAAGACCTACTCATTTTGAATAGAACAGTCGTGAATGGTATGAAAACGATATTCGTTACAATTTATTTTACCTCATTTCTTTATTAATGAAAACGTCTGTTTCCGTGTCCTTAAAACAGATGAAAGCACTTGTGTTCTTGTTTTTTTTTATATCTATTAAACAAATTAATCTGTTTGTGAAAATTTGAAGTAACTGTTAGTCTAATATAAGAGAAGACGAGACATTTTATTTTTTAAAAATGTCTTTTTTTATTTAGAAAGCTAAAGTACATATGACATTTTAAAAACATATTCCTATCTCTTACTATTTACTTGATAAATTCTACCATGAAAAAATACGGCGAAGATATATTAAGTGTATCAGTAAATTTTTGTTTTTTTCTCTTAATGATTTAATCATGTAACTACTACTATCGAATACATTTTGTAGATACTTTTTGTCAAAACGGCGACCGAAAACGATTCTAACCATTTCCATCATGTACTTTCGATTAGGTCATAGTTTGATTATGCCTGTAGAATTGAGTTCCATGTTATATGAATTTGCTGTTTTTTGTTGTTGTTACAAGCATAGAATATGGAAAACATCTTGTACGAGATATCTATTAGTTCATTTTTGTTTTATATGTTCCATAGGTGGATATTCATCAGAAAAATGATACTCGCTACTAACAGAAACAGCTCGTACAAAAAAAGATTTAAAAAAGTGCAAAAGTTAGCAGATGGAAAGAAGTTTCTGAAAAAAACAGATCAGTCATCTTAGGGTGTGTGGGGGCGGAGGGAGGTACAGTGGGCAGAAAATATGGACTAGAAGCAATTCTTACAATTAATAAAGCTAATAACTTTGTATTTTCTATAATTGTGCTTCTCACTTAATGCTGATTATTTGTGCCTATTTAGGCTTTTCTATTCGTAAAATTTCTGAAAAAACAGGTTTTTACTGATTTTTTCAGCAAAAACCCGGTGCTCCCCCTCAGATTACGTTGAAAGTTGAATTTTTAGTTTTGCCTTGAAACTTTGCATCCATAGCACTTTCAATGAAACCAGTTCATTATGAAAGTTTCAGCCTCTTCCGTTGCTTCTTTTGTGATATACTAACAAAAGCACAAAAATTCGCTTTCTCACACAACAGAATTTTGAATACTCATATCTCACGACAGAAGCAACAAAGAAGGCCGAATCTTTCACAATCAACTAGCTTCCTTGCAAGCATTATCTGTGCAAAGTTTCAAGGTAAAACTAACAATTCAACTTTCAACGTGATCTGAGAGGAAGTACGAGGTTTTGTTGAAAAATTCAGTAAAAATTCGATGTCATAAGAATGAAGATTTGGAAAACTAAATTATTCTAGACTTTTTCTATGCTCGCCAGCACTCACAGAACGGGCATAGTTCAAAGCCAGAAATAATTTAGTACTGGAAGAGGTTTCCTCAAAAGTTATCGAGGCTTCTCTATGCAGAACCCAAAGTTAGAAACTAACGATGGATTATGTTTAGAACAGAACAATCGTTGTAGTTGTTTAAAAATTCATGTATTTGAGCTTGTACTGTCTATTGGAAACGGTTGGAAACCTAATGGATCTAAAAGATAAGTATTTATTATACAAATCCCGCGGAACTGATCTGAATGGCAGGTTATATTTGCGACATAATTTCTCAATAAGAGTTTAAGTGCGCATCCACCTAAGATGGTTGATGACAGGCTCTATTAAATAGTAAATAGGAATAAAAATAAAAGCTTCTGGAAAATCCGGCAAACGAATGGCATTATTCTCTAGGTATTAGCTTTTAGTAAATTACAAGTAGACTTTTGGTCCTATTAGAGCAAAAGGAACTTCAGACACTCCGAAAGGTCTATAATATATAGTACACATATACTACTAAATAACTGTATAATATTCAATGGATATGATTAGGTCTTCAATTTGAAACATACGCTTTACTTCTAAGGCCCTATCAGTAATATTTACCTATTTTCCCTACTTTGTGGTAGTTGCTGCAAGACGACTGCTACTCGCTTGCAATCAGACTCCAAAATGCAGGATCATAGATGGGCTTGATTGTGGGTCTGAATCTAGGTCTGAGTGAAGAAAAGTGTCTTATCTTCACACCTACACCCATACCCTGAGAAGCCAAATTTTGGGGTTGATTGTTTCGGACATTGCAGTGTTGAATGAGCAAAAAGAATCAAAAATTTATTTTTTTATCCAGTGCCTTGTATACATGATGGTCTCACTGATTCTCACGTAAGTTTCTCTTAACAGCATTCAGTGAGAAAATTTCGAATGAGAAACACTTTTTGAAATTTTCCATCGATTTAGATGGATTAATTGTGAAACAAGAACACTGAGTGACACCCAAAGTGCGATAGAAGTCGATCAGAAAAGAATATTGTTAGTGTTTATTCGAGATACCTGATTGAAATCGTCTTCTTTTCGAGAAGACAGAGATTACTTCAATCTGAAGTCGACTATTGAAGGCAACTTGAAGTCAAATTAACAGAAAATAACGTAGCTCAATATTGCATCAATCGACAGAGCTTTGGCTTCACCTGCACGGTTCTCTGTTTATCGGAATTCTAAGAAAAAGAAAAGCAACAAAGAATGAAATTTAAAACTGATTTGCCGGTGATTTTCCTTCTAATTTTGCTTTTGATCGTTTTGAGAATTGTTTTGGCGTTGATCTCAACTTATATAATAACTCGCAGTGTGACTTTGTCAAAAAACTCGTAAACGTTTGACCTGAGCTATTCAATGCCAATGAATCATTTGGGACTCTTTTTTCCATCCCTCTTCAAACGGTTCTCATATAACATATTGTTAGATTTCAACAATACTCTAACTATTTATTCTTAAACTGTATTGATTTCTAATAGCGAGCGTAATGAAATACTAACTCATGGACTTCGAAGTAATACTATAGAAGTGGTCAATGCAATTGATGTTACCAGCAGAAGCAAACTGAGTTGAACGTTTTCGATAATTCTAATAATGTCGAAACATTCATTTCGTTGTCGAATAATTCGTTCGACAAATCTCTTTTATTCAATTAAGGATCGGAACGATCGGATGAATTTGTGCTTTCTATCTTGCTGCTGATTGAACATGTTTGAATTAAAACAAGTTCGATTGTTTTCGTTTAATTGTTAACATTTGAATCTTTTCTTGAGATTTTCTGATTTCGAAGAAGAATCAAGTCAAATCGGCATTCATCGACACTGATCGAGAGAGGTGCAAAACAAACAAAAAGAGAGGCGTACGAGTGTGGGCGGCTGAATGACAATGAAGGAAAGATCCATTCTTACACTCACTCAACCACACTCCTGCCAACTAAGAATGCATGATGATAAGCCTAACAGAAACCATCGAAGTTCTTCTTCAATGGAGCTTGTTGATATTTCAATATCAGATGTAACACTGCAGTAGCAAGATTCGAATTGGTCAATTAGTATTGCTTTATTTATAAGTATTTTATCGATGAACTAAAAGAACACATTATAGTGAAATATACGGTTGATAATATTTGGTGATTCAAGTATGTTACAACTAATTAAAAACAAGCTATTATATACTTGAAAATAGGAGTTTATTTCGTATAATAATCTTTGAATGGAAAATCAATGTCAATAATCATCTCGTCGAATGGCAATAACTTTTTCGTCTGGATCATCGCCATTAAATGAAACTACGGCACGTTTCTTTCGTTCGGGTTCAGGTTCTCCAGCGACAAGTGGTCTTGCTGGTACACCACCTGTTGCAAAGCGGCCTATACGAACTAGATGAACTTCATAGCCTAGGAGAAGAAAGATCCATGCATGTAAAATCACACTTTATGATTCAAATAAGATAGAAGCCTTCTACTACCTTCACTTTCTAATTCTTGTTGCACATTACGAACATTTTGCCCAACATACTTCTGTAGTTCTTCACTAGAAGATGACATTATTTGTTTTTGTTGGTATTTCTGTTAGCTTGACGTATATTGATGGTAAAAAAAAGTGACTAGATTTCTTATTTTACTCGTTTAAGTAATGTATTTTCTCTTGCGTTCTCTATTATATTTTGTATTAAATAGCTACTCGGTGAAATAACCAAGAACACAAGAGAAAAATGCTGCCGTGTTGTGTGCAAATATTACTGATGACTACATGCATCAGTGATTTCTATTTTCCTATATGTATAGGTAAAAGAAAAAAAAAAAGAATAAAAATATAAATGATGAGTTACTAATTTTATATTGTACATACTTTTGCTTAACATTGCATGCATACAAGGACTATCAATAGCAAAGGAGCCAGACTGATTTGTTTTACATCGATAATTGTGATTGAATACCGTTGATTGGTTGTGACTATGGGTTTTGTGGGTAGAGGTGTTAGTGTAAATGAAAACAAATTCGACAAAAACACTCGCATTCACACCTGTATCTTCTGTCATTCATAAGAGAAAATCACATCTGACGGCTTGTCAGACCTTAATACAATTATTATCGGATTTTAATAACTGTTTGCATGTATTTTTCATTATTTTTAAGCGTTTTTTGAATAAAATGCGTCAGAAAGTATTTGAACTGTGTCTTAGAGATTGACTTATACTTTTCTAATGGTTTTAGAGAATCAAATTCACTTCTATTGAATTGTTTAGATAACTTCACTGAATATTACTAAATGTTTTTCATATTTTCTCTTTGTTTTCATTCATTTTTTGCTTATTTTTTTATATCTTTTCGTATTTAGGCTTATTTTGAAGATAAGTAGACTTAAAAAGTTATTTCAATCATATAATAATCAGTTGATTGAATGTTTTTGTGGATATGGATGTGTGGGTTCGAGTAAATAGAAGACCCATACACACCCCACACGCTAATCATAACTCAAGAACGAAAGCCTAATAACATGAAGCTTTTTAGGGTTTTTAATTACACTATGAGTCCTATCTGTGAGCAAAATATCAGCTCAAATGAATAATACCAATTCAATAGGTTTCCTCGTGAGAAAAAAAAACTCATGAAGTATTGAAGAGATCATGAAAAAATTTATTTCTATTTCGAAAACTAAAAAATAGAACACCCACTGAACTGATTTCGCATTGATGCACAACAAAAGTTTACTGTTAATGAAAAAAATCGTAGAACATAACTGATTAGTTCGAGTTTTGTAACTAAAAAGATATAAATTGATAATAATTTTCAAACGATTCTCATAATGTCAACAAAAAAAAAAAAAGAACATGACCAACTTTAATTCTTCTGAATAATATTAGCGAAAAGAAAAGAACGATACACAGGGACAAAAATATATCGAATCAATGTTCAAAGTCCGTCTTTTAGATTATATAATAAATGGCAGAAAATGTTTCGAGTTGGATCGAGTGAAGAAAATAAATCAACAACGATAGCATATATGATAGATTTTTTATTCTACTTACGTCTGATGCTTTTGACTCTTACGTCTAATATGGTCAAATGAAGCCCTAGAATATGAAATCTGATATTGATGAGAAAAATATCGATGTTACTTTCAATTCATATTGTTCGATCAATGTTCCTGTTTTTAGTGACTCGAAAACCTGGTCAGTTACGTATGTTGGTGTAAGTGAATAGACGATAAATGCCCACATCCACATCCTTATTATAACATATATTCTGTTATATACTTGAAGATAATCTTGTATCAATGAATGATGATGATAGAATATTAAAAGATGTTATAGAAAATAATGATAATGAATTTATATTTGCACCACTTGATATAAATCAAGATAAACCAAACGAAAGAAATTCTAATAATAATAATACTGCTGAAGATATATCAAATGATGGAATTTATTTAGCGTTACAAGATTCTATCAAAGATAGGCAAACATAATGTCTATTGGCACACATTTGATTTGATTTTTTATTTTATATACGATAATAAAAAAGAAAGCAAAATAAAAAAATAGTTTTGTTGTAATTTTTACTTCAAGCCATCAATTGAAGCTCCATCATATTCATATTTACGTGCACATTCAAAATCATCATCAAATGCTATATATCACCAGTGAAAAAAGAGACAAACGGTCCACTAAAACAGCGAGTTGCATTTTCAGCATTATCTTCTTCATCTAGTGATGATAGTGATAATGCATTTGTATTCTTGATTTTTTTTTTGTTTTTTTTTTATTAGGGATTTTCTGGAGAATAAGAATAAGAAAAGCTCAATGCTTGTAGTGATCGATATGAACGGATCCATAGCAGTCCATTTGATATAGATGTTGATTTACGAAAAAAGGATTTATCGAGAATGCAGAAGAGTATGAGTAATTTTATAGGTTTTTCTTTATGTCATTGAAGTCTACTTTTAGTGCAGTATAAAGTCATTATTCAGAAGAGGCAGCGCTCTACAGTGTCATCTTTTAGCTACGAAAGTTGAACTAAAGAAGTCATAGATCTCCCTTTTAAAGTTATGTTCGTTTACAACATGTTGTGAAAGAATTTCAATTTGAAAGTTTACTTACTCAACTTTCTTGTAAATTCAGCACTCTAGAAAGGAAACATTTATTCTATCTGAAAATATCATAAAGATCATTAAATCAATTTGAGAGCAATACTTCTGATCATATTCTT